AGTCTGAAAGTCTATGAATCCCAATAACACTTCCTAATGTAGAACTCAGGAAAAGGAAAACAAAACAGTGAATAATTCACACTTGTCCACAAGAACAAAATGAAGTGTGTGAATGATAATCTAAGTAGTACTATACCTCTAGGAAAATAACTATCAGAGTTAGACCCCAAACAGAAAAAATAACAGAGTTATGATTTTCGGGAAACTATGAATAATGCGGAATTCATTTGAAAGATGACTTTCAATCATCTTCAAGAAGATAGGCGTTACTTTCGCTCTTTTCAGAAAAGATATTCAAGTATCGGGTACTTTGTTTTATTGTGTTCATTTACAATTTTCAGTGTTGTACTCAATATTCTTACTGTTATGTCTCTCTCTCTCCCTCCCCCCCCCCACTATCTTGGCATTTACATGTGAAATTCCAGTTCTAATTCTAATTCTACTTTATTTCTTGACACAAAACCAAGGGAGAAGAGGTTAATGCTAATCACATATAAAATTATTTACATCAGGGGCTGGGCTGCAGCTCAGTGATGGAGTTTGTTGTGCCTGTGTGTGGTTGCAAATCAATCCTCAGAGCCAGTAATGAAAACAAAAACTCAAATTTTATAGTAGAAATTCTGGCAGGTTAGATAGGAAGCCACCTTCACTGCAGGAGCCAGCTGGTTCCTGTAGGGAAAGAACATGCATAGACAGAGCTGGAGAGATGGATCAGGTGTTAAGAGCATTGACTGCTCTTGCAGAGGACTCAAGTTCACCGTAACTCTAGTTCTCAGAGATACGATGCCTTCTTCTGACCTCTACAGGAATTGTGTGCATGTGGTGCATTTACATGTCTCTAGACAAAGCAGTCATACAAATAAAAGAAAAATACATTTAATTAAAAAAAAATAATAAAGTTTAAAAAATATCCAGGGCCAAAGGCTGCCTAATAATTAAAACCTAACTTTCCTCACAACGATATGAATATAATTCTCTAAAGATGGTGCTAAAAGTCTCCTCCTTTGTTTTGTCTAAGCCTTTAGGAAGACGTTGCCTATAACTTCGAAAGTCTCTTCCGTTTTCCTCAACAGTTTTACTCTCACTCCTATCAACAGTCCATGCATCCAAGGTACACACATTTCCAAAAGTGCTGTAGGTCTCATTGCCACAGAAAATGAGGCAACTCAAATTTGGGAAAATAAAGAGGCAATCCAGACTCAGACATCAAATATGACTCAAACTCAACTTAAGCCAACAATGCAACTGTTGCTTTTCTTGTATATGTACAGATACTCAGCTCAAGATACGGAGCCAGCCTAGCAATCCAAAGAAGATGAGGTACGCTCACACAATGGAATTGCATTCATCTGTAAAGCAGAATGAAATGATGACATTTGCACAAAAATGGATAGAACTAGAAATCATTATGGTAAGTGAAATAAGCCAGACTCAGAAACATAGGTTTCCAACACTTTCTTTCATATGTGGGACACAATTAAATACATTTATATAATTAAATGTTAAAATATAATATGATACATACACATATATGTGTGCCATGAAAGTAGAAAAGGGACTGTGAGAGGAGAAGAGATCTAAAGGGTGATGACTAATCTTGTTCTCAACCTGACATACCTGGGAAGAGGGAACCTCAGTTGAGGAATTTCTCCCACCAGAACAGCCTGGGGGCACGTCTGTGAGGCATTTTTTCAACTGTTAATTGATGTAGGAGAGCCCAGCCCACTGCAGGCAGTGCCACCCTGGGAGGGTGGGCCTGGGCTATAAAGAAAGGTAGCTGAGCAAGCCAGTAAGCATCATTCCTCCATGTTCTGCTTCAGCTCCTGTCTCAAGCTTCCTGTCTTGAGTTCCTGAATTGACTTCCCTTGATGATGGACTGTGAGCTGTAAGCCAAATAAACCCTTTTCTTCCAAGTTTCTTTTGGTCGTGGTGTTTATCACAGTAACAAGCAAACTAGGACAGAAGGGGAGGAGAGGTCACCAAGATAGAGTAATGGAGGATATGTGATGGAAAAAAAAAAAAAAAACAGGAGGGGCTGGCTGTATGGGAGGGAGGGGACCATCAAGAGAGAGGAAGGGAAGAGGAGAGGATGGGAAGAGTGACTCAGAACAGCCATACTAAAGAATATGTATTAAAAGGTCACAATGAAACCCATTACTTTGTATAATAACTAAAAAAGTTAACAAAAGAAAGTTAAAAAAATCAAGAGAGCAGACATTCTAATGCAGTTCTTACAGTACTGTCATGGCTAACAAAATTATCGATAACTTCTTATTAAATAGCTAAATTTCCCTGTTGAGAATCTCCTAGCTATTCTAAAACTTACTTTTTATAGTTGACTTGTTCAGATTGGGATTCCAACTAGTTCTGAAGGCTACATGTGGCTGATACTCCTCTTAAGATTCTCTGAACACTAAAAGAAGTTTCAACATGTCTTGATGTCACTCACCTGCTGAAGAACCAGGTTCCCCATCTCAAAGCATGTTCCAGATTCTAAATTTACTCTCTTGGTTCTTTACAGTATTACTAGAAACTTGTTTCATGGTGGCTGTGCATATTCCTCTACATCTGCAGCTTTCAGGAACCCTGGAGTTCTAGAACATTCTCGAGGGATGCCTTCCTTGTCAGTGGTTGTGGGAGAATCAGGCTCTGTATTCTCTCAGCAGCATTTCCCACACTTGCCTGGGGATCATCACTGTGCCCCACTTGGGCCGCTGCCTCGCTCTCCCTGTGTTTCCTTTACTCTTCCTTGTCCCCTAACTCCCTGTCCCTACACATACCTCTCGTCTCATGTCCTCTAGTAGTATCCTTTAAAATTTGACTCATCTTCTTAAAACCACTCCAGTAACTGCACTTGATAAGTCAACACTTTACTTTGATCTAATTGACTCTGCTGATGACGTCTCTGCCCCTCTCCAACCCCATCACCAATTGCAGGCCTTCTTGTTGAAGATACCTTGATACCTCCCCTGGGATTAAAAGCATAGCACTGTGACTCTGCCTCTCAGGCCTCTTCCTCCAACATCTGTGGCTTCCAGTGGAACATCCCTCAGCTCAAAGCTAAGCTTAAGAATTGTCACCTTGACTAGCCGAACCAAGCAAGTCCTAGCACTCATTTCAGAATTTCTTTGTGTACACTTGTATATGTACATGTGTGTAGAGGTCAGAGGCCAACCTTATCTGTCACTCCTTAGATATTGTCCACCTTGTTTTGTGAGACAGGCTCTCTCTTGGCCTAGAACCCACCAAGTAAACTAAGGTAGCTGGTCATCAAGCCAGGGATCTGCCTATCTCTGCTTCCTCAGAGCTGGGATCGCAAGCACTCACCAACAAACCTACTATTTTAAAATGTACGTTATGGGGTTGAACTCAGGTCTTTGTGCTTGGAAGGCAAGCATTTACAGACTGAGTTTTCTCCCCAGCCCTAGTTACTAATATTTCCATTACATCAGTTACCACATTGATAACTTTATGTTCATACTAGATTATGTCTTGTGTGCCTTTTTCTCTTTCTTTTGTGAAGGCTCACTTCCTGAATTTTCTGCTATGTCAACTTGTTCATTTATTCCTTTTTAATTCCTGTTGGAATGTAAGCACCACAGAGCAGGGAACCTCTCTTTGCTTCAGATATCTCCACAGGCAACAACTGTGCTGGCACATGCTAGTGTCCCACGTTATCTTGTTGAATTAAAGATGAGCAAAGATTAGTCAGGCTTCTTATACATAGTACAAGTGCCTACGATGTAATTGCTAAGTGGTTTTACATTAGGTTAAAAACTGCTCTAAGATATATGATATCACAAAGTCTGAGGCAACCTTATACTTTCTCATTTTTAAAAGTCAGAATGAAATAGGGACTGGAGAGACGGCTCATTGATTAAGAGCGTATACTGCTCTTGCAGAGGACCCAAGTTCTCTTCCCAACACCCATGTCAAACAGCCTAAAACTCCAGTTCCAGGGGAATCTCTTGCTATCACCTTCTGACCTCCACAGGCAGCTCCATTCCTCTTCATATACCTCACGGACCTCCACCCACCCCCCCAACACACACATACGTATTTCTTTTTAATCTAGAATGAAGCAGGCTTTGGGGACTAGGGAGATGAGGCAAAAAGCACTTGCTCAGCAAACATGAGGCATTCAACCCTAGCACTCAGGCAAAATGCCAGGTGTGGCTGCACATGCCTGTAACCCCAGCATTGCAGGGCAGGATCAAGTAGATTCTGAGAGCTTTATAGCCAGACAGCCTAGCTGAAAAGTTGAGCTTGTAGTTCTGCAAGAGACCCTGTCTCAGGGGAATAAGGTAGAGAGTGATAGGGGAAGGTACCCAGTGTCTTGCTATGGCTTCCACCTATGCATGCACCCACTCACATACATGAATCACACAGAAAACTCACACACACACACACACACACAGATGTACCACACACACAGACATACCCATGCACACAAACAGGGTCCTTCCCATTTTCTTACTGGATATTTTAGAAAAAACATTTTTCATCTTTGGAACCACCTGGTTTCTAATCCACAGCAAACAGTCCAACATCTACAACAAAATAGCTTATTTTCCCATTGCTCCAAAGCTAATATGCTCTCATTATTTCATAAAAAGAGAAAGTGTATGCATACTTTACATTCCTTTAATTGATTCTGCAGCAATACGCTGCAGTTGTGAATTTGCAGTACAATCATTATGCGATTTATATATCAAGATAGAGGTCATAATTTATTCAGCATTATCCCTGGTAATTATTATTGAACATTTTAATTTTCAACACTTAAAGGCAAGTACATTCCCTGTGAATCCAACAAAGGGAAAAAAAAAAAACCTACTCACTAATACAGTAAATTAGCATAATGGACTTTATGAATTAAGCTAATGACTTGTTTCTCAAGCCTGCAACACAAAAACCAACGAAATATAACAGATTAAAAAATTACCACCTTCGTCACTGTTGACTGACAAAATCAGATGCACAATTCCACAATTACTTACTTCCATCAGTAACTTGAAGCCTTCTCTCTTCTTGATTTCCTCTACCAGGTACCTAAAATTAAAAATAACATTGTTTTAGAATAGTAACCTTCATAATCTGCAATCCTAAAACACCATGAATGTGACTCCCATAACACAAAGCTACTACTTCTAGTGTAGAAATGAGGTGTAGGTCTAGGAGGTACAGGCAAGGATACAGGACAGGCAGAGCTACTGATTTAAAGAGATGCTTCTGAGCCTAAGACTATCCTCTGGACCTCAGTAAAAAGAAATACAGATGAGGTTTATCTCATAGGCTAACATGACCTTTTAACCCTAGTAAGAAATCCAAATAGACTGATCCACATCTCTGAACATATGGGTTTCCTATCATGGGGGTTTGGCATAGATACTTAGATGGCTTTGTTAGATTAGAGAGTAAGTTTCTTGTGCGTCATCTTCACTTGTGTTTTAAATTTAAGATCAAAATCATCTTTCCCACAGCTAGAACAGAGGAAAAGAGGACCGATAATCAGTATCATGTCCAAAATAAGTGGGGTTGTAGATGTTGATAGAGCATCTGTGACAAGAGCAGCAGCATGCCATAAAGGAAGGGCTCAGATGGCAAGATAAGGGACATGGTCGGAGAAAGAACAAAATGGTTTGGGAATTCAAAGTGAAACTTCACTGACTGACTCTTCTCCTCCAGCTTGGTTTTTATCCACATTTGAAAAAAGCTTCAAGTATTTGACCTTGAAATCTAATATTTGATCATGAGCCTAAAAAGAGTTCACAATGCTTGAACCCTGGATTTTGGGGTCAAATGTGAGGAAATGTGCAGAAATTGCAAGGAAAATGTTTGCCCAAGATTTCCTGTAATATATAACAACAACGACAACAACAACAACAACAAGAACAACAACAGCAACAACAATAAAGAAGAATCAAAGAAGACAACACACTCACCAGTAAGAACTGGCTTCAAAACAGTTTTGTCACATACCCATGGTACCACCACCATGCTAGTAAACTCTATATACCCAATTAAGTCTTGCTAATCCCTCCTCATAAAAAACTGTTGTCCTTGAATCTTACCCATGACCTGAGAAACCCAACAAATGCAATCTGTTTTTCTAGTTTGGAATTTCCACAGAAAAGGAAGTAAACTCTAAAAATCACAGAAAAGGGGAAATTTTAATCATTACATTATTTTCTATAGTCTGTTCTAGAATTATACAATGTATTAGTTTGTAAGATTCAGTACCTTTCCCCCAAATTTATTTATATAGTTTTTCCATAAGGATAACTTTGCATATAGACATCATCTCTGAAATATGCAAAATCTTACAAAAATTCTATCATGATTAAGTAGTAATACAAATCCTTCATTTTGAGCAGCTCTATTGTAAACACAAATACACACAGAGATTCACAAAGTGATTGAAGCTCTACACTTCCCTGAGTATTTTTTCAGGAGATGTTATAAAGTATCTACAAAGTCTTGGAATCTTTAGCAAACTACCTAACTTGAAAAACATCAACAAAAAGAGATTCCTGTCATTAATAAGAATCAGAAAAGGTGCTTAAGATCAATAGTATTCAAAGAAATGGAAACAGCAGGATTAAACTATGTTCCTCACAAGGTGTTGGAAACAAGACATCAGGATTACTGAGAAGGTGGTAGAAATCTGTTACAAATTCCATCTCCTCTCTTCTGACTGAGGAAACCACTTTTATGATAGTCTGTTAGTAAATAAATTAATAGTAAGGATACACAGAGTGATAAATATAGCATTTGTACTATATATATGTTTGTGTGTATATGTGTTATTACATCTAAAGCTCTTTCTATGTGTATTCTCGACACAATACTCAGAAGCAAGGTCCCTGTCCAGAAATGGAGAATGGTAGAATAAAGTATTGCTGAATGACCCAATGTCACATATGACATAACTATTAAAATGAGCGGACTCTACCTCCTTTCAAGGCCCAGGGTGTGTAGGACATATAAATAAAATATATAGCAGCAAGCTATTGAGAAACATTGATAATTTTTTCATTTTATACACACACACACATATATATATATATATATATTTTAAAGTTCAGCAAGGGGAGGTGACTCATGCTTTTAATCCTGGTACTCATGAGACAGAGGAAGATGGATCTTGGTGAGATGGAGACAAGCCAGGTCTACACAGCAAGTTCCAGGCCAGCTGGGTCGATAGGGAGACCCCGTCTCTAATTAATTAATTAATTTAAAAGGTAAGCTAAAATTGGGGTTGGAGAGATGTCTCAGCAGTTAAGAGCATTTGTTACACAACTATGAGGACTGGAGTTCATGTCCCAAAACCCATGTAAGAAGATAAGCACGATCCTGTGCATGCCTGGAACTCCAGCTCCAAGGTGGGCAGACAGGAGGATCACTGGGGCTTGCTGGCTTGCAGCCTAGCTGAGAAACTGATATCCTAGTAGTGTTCATGGAGAGACCTTGCCTCAAAGAAGTGGGCTGAGGGTAGAAAAGGACTCCCAACATCCTCTAGTGGCCTCTGTGTGCACACGTAGGCACATATGCTCCCCTGATATGCTTATACACTCACAGAGACACATACATTCACATTAAGTAAATAAGTAAACAGATAAATAATAAAAATCTATTTTAAAAAGAAAGCAAAATAACCTCCATCCACATGATTCTCATGCACCTATGAGCACAGAGCAAAGTGTTAAGGGAGGCTTCACACACTGTTCAAGCTTGTTTACTTGAGGGAGGCAGAAAGAGAATGCAGTGGGGCTTAGGACTCACTCTGCTCCTTGTCTGCCTCTGTGCAAAGTTCCATAGGTGCAGTTCTTTGCCTAACTCCTTAAAAATAACTTGGAAGAAAAATGTAAAGCCTAGCATAAAACAGACATATACAACCTCTATCTACAGAAGGGAAGATTTGAGAATCACCCCTTATCTCACCCCCTGAGGCATAGATGTACAGGCAATAGATTACACTCATAACATGAACTATTGTTGCATCTGACATAAGCCTCCAGTGTTTTGAGACTCTGACCAATGCTTACTCAGATACCTGAGTCACTCAGGCTAGAACTTCCTAATGGGCTTCTGATCAACACTTCGAGTTTAGGAAAACCCCTCAGGTTTCCTGGGACCACCTCAGCTTCCTCATGCATATAATGGAGGTGAGGAACGAAATTGGGAAAACCCTCGTCTGAATGATTATGAGTGTTTGAAGTTTACTCTACCTTTGGGCTCAATTTAAACTACTCCTGTCACACTAGCCAGAGCTGCTTCTAGAAGAAAGGCCTCCCAAAACCAAGAGAATCGTGTCAGTTAAAACTCTGCTTTGGGGGATGGAGAGATGGCTCAGTGGTCAAGAGCACTGACCTCTCTTGCAGAGGATCTGGGCTCTGTTCCCAGCACTCACATGGTGGCTAACAACTATCCTTAGTTATAGTTCTAGGGGCTCTAACACCCTCCT